AATTTAATAGTAAAATTATTAATTACAATTATTAACAAAATCGATTATATTAAAAAAAAAGAAATTCTTCGAAAGAATTTAATTATTTTTAATATTTTAATAAAATCCCTTTGAATTAATTAAATGTTTGAATAAAATTCTTTGTTGAATTCAATTATTTTCAAAAATTTTCAATTAAAATTATTAAGGAAACTCAATTATTTAAAAAAAAATTCAAAGAAATTCTTCAAAAAACAATTTAAATAGAATTTTCAAAAATTTTAATAAATCTCTTCGCAACAATTCAATTATTTTTTTAAATTAATAACATTCTTTGAAGGAATTCAATTATTTTTATAAATAATAAAATCCTTTAAAGGAATTCAATTATTTTCATAAATAAAAAATTTCTTCGCAAGAATTCAATTATTTTTAAAAATAATTTTTTTCGAAGGAATTTAATTATTTTCAAATACTTTGATAATATTCTTTGCAAGAATTCAATGATTTTCAATACATTAATTTTAAAATTAAAAACGACTTTTTTTAATTTTATATTTAGAGCAAATTATAAAACTTGAAATTCATTTTTTCTTAAAAAAAACTAAAAAATCTTAGTTTTAGTGGAAAAAATTTTCGATTTTCGATTCATTTATTTACAATAATTTATTTTTTATTTTTATCGCCTAAAAGAAAAAGCGACGAAATAGTTTTTTCTTTTAATATAAACAAAAAATTTACTTTCTATTTTTAATTTTCAGTTTCTTAAATACTGAATTTTATTCTCTGAATTCTAATTAGTGAATAATCGACTACTAATTTAAATAATTAAAAATTGCTACTAATTTCTATTAATTTTTTTTCAAAGAAATTTCAGTTCAAGGGTTTAAAATTGTCCAATGAATAGTAAAATTTAGTGAATTAGTAAAATTAGTAAAATTTTCTTTAATAATAATAAAAAATTCTTTCCCTAAGAATAATAATGAAAATGTTTACTAATTGTATTGAACTCTATAAAATTTAAAATTGAATTAGTGAAAATGAAACCACTAATTTAGAATAATAAATATTTTTACTAACGTTAAGTTAGTTTTCACTAAAATTTTAGTAAAAAAAAACTCAAACTACTAAGGAAAATAATATTTTAGTAAAAATTGTTGAATATCCATACTAATGTGAATTTTTGTCTCAATTTTAACTAATTAAGATTTAGGGAGGATGAATTTTTACTAAATTCAGATTTTTATAGAGTAGAAAAAATTAGTGTCTTAATTTTTATTAATTCGAAGTTAAAAAGGACGATTTTTTATTAATTTTAAATTTAAAGAGTTAAAAATTGAGCCCCTAATTCAAATGGTAAATTTTTTTTTACTAATTTCTAGTCAGTTTCCACTAAAATTTTAGTAAAAAAAACTAAACTAAAAATACTGAAAATACTACACTGGAAAAAAAATTAATTTTATTTTAATAAACGATATTACTTGTCTATTACCAAATAAATATTTACTTGAAGTAATTAATTTTTATTTGTGCCAATTAAATTGTATTTGCTTCAAATACTGAAATTATTGGTTCAAATACAAGTTAATTGTCTTAAATAAAAATTATTTGTCACAAGTAAATATTTATTTGATTAGATAAGTAAACGGTTTTTTCGAATAAAATAATTTTTGTCCAGTATAAACAAATTGGTTATATTTTACCAAAAAGTTAGGGAATAATATTCTTAATTTCTTACTAATGTGAATTAGTGAGTGTGTAATGTGAATTTTTCCAAATTGTCAGAAATTTTTCCAAACTTTTGAGATTTTTTCTACATTATTATTTTCATTTAGTTTCTGAATTCATAGGAAGTTTTCGATAATTTTTTTTAGAAAAATTCCCTTATTTATGTTAATAAATTTTTTCTAAATAATTAGTAAAATTTGCTTCCTAAGTTTTTTTTGGGGAAAATATTCAAAATTTCTTTTACAGTGTAGTTACAGTAGTTCTTTACTATAAATACTTTTTTGTTAGAAAAACCAACCAAAATTTAAAATATACACTTTTCTATCAGAGAAAAATGAAAAAAAATCACAGTATCAGTGAAGAATTTCTCGAATTTCTTTATATTATTCTCGCATTTCCTGTGTGAGAAAGTAAAATTTATGGGGTCGAGAGAGTTTCTTTCGTCAGTGACAGTAGGTCGATTGCTTATGCTTGATCTTACAGACAGGCTTTCCCTTTCACGTTATCGAGGAATAAGAAGTGTGATGAAAAGGGAGACGTGACATTTCCTTATTTTTTTCTTTTTTTTTTGCACACGACGCGGGGTGATATTGACAAAAATCGCAAAAATTTCCCAGTGTAAAAGAGTATATCGAGAGGCAAAGTGCCCGATACAAGGGTACACGTCGTAAAAAAAAGAAGAAGAAATAAAAGTAGGAGGGGTGCTTCTAAAAAGCAACTACATGAGGCTGAGACAGAAGAGTGTGAAGAAAAGATGCGAGGCTTTCCGGGGTGTATATATGAGAGAGATAGAGAGTGAGAAAAAAATGAGAGAGAGAAAGATAAAAAAAAGTGGAAAAGAGAGAGAAAAAAATAAGAGGAAGAAAGAGAGAAAAAAATAAGTGGAAGAGAGAGAAAGAAAGAGAGAGAAAAAATGAGAAGGAAAGAGAGAAAATGAGAGGAAGAGAGAGAAAAAAAATGAGAGAGATAGTGAGTGGGAAAAAATGAGAGAGAAAGAGAGAATACTTTCGCAGTGTCAGCAAATCTGAGACGCTCTACAGACTCCGGGACTTGGAGTGCCCTTCGAAGAGAATGGAATCGAATGGGAAGACACGATGTCAGATAATATCTGAATATTGAGGCACTAAACGAGGACTGTCGCGCTCATAAACCATGCTGATATGAATGCAGATGACTCAATTTTACACGTTTCACCAATACTTTTAGAAATGCTTATCAACGATTTTTCCCATCGCTAATTTCATCTCGCATTAGACTATGGGGAAAAAAGATTTTCCATTAATCCACATTGTAAGAAAACTACACTGTCGAGTCATTTTTTTTCTCTTCCAAGAAAATCGAATATTTTTTCGCTTATTTATTATTATTTTTTTTTATTTATTCTATTTATTTATTTATACATACATTTGTTGAAGTTAACTAAATTTTAGAATGTCCAAAAGTGGAAAATTTTTCACAAAAATTTTTCACAATTTTTCACAATTTTTCACAGGTCAAGGAATTTAGGAAAAAGTCAGGAAAAGTAGAATATTGGTCAGAGACATCAGGGAAAAGTCAGGGATTTTTATTTAAAGTACTGTAAGAAATTAAATTTTTTGAATTCATAGGAAAATTCTGAATTTTGGTGTTTTTTTTAAGCCTCAGAAAATACACTAAAAAAAATCCATATTTAATTATTAAAAAAAAAATTTAATAAAACTCTACGCAAACATTTAATTATTTTCATAAATAATAATCAAAGCTTCATATGAAATCAATTATTTAAAAGTATTTTTAAATTAATTTCTTCGCAATGATTCAATTATTTTCATAAAAAATAAAATTATTTGCAGACATTCAATCATTTTCAAAAATTTTAAATAATTCTCGTCAAAAATTCAATTATTTCTATAAATAAAAAAATTCTTTTCCAAAATTCAATTATTTTCAAAAATTTTAATAAATTCTTGGCAAATTTCAATTATTTTTTAAAATTTTCCTCTATTCATAAGTTTTTTTTATAAATTTCTTCAGAATGATTTAATTATATTCATAAATAATAATATTCTTCTGCAAAATTAAATTATTTTCAAAAATTTTAACAAATTCTTGGCAAATTTCAATTATTTTTAAAAATTTTCCTCTATTCACAATTTTTTTTTTTATAAATTTTTCCGGAATGATTCAATTATTTTCATAAATATAATAAAAGTTTCTACAGGGATTCAATTATTTTTATGAATAATAAATTTTTTTTTAGGAATTCAATTCTATTCATAAATAATAAAATTCTGTGCAGAATTTTAATTAGGGGCCGTACACATAATACGTCACGCGATTTTTGACCATTTTAGACCCCCCCCTCCCCCCATGTCACACACTGTCCCATACATTAGCGCCATTTTTTCTATAGGTCGTCACAAATGTATTGACCCCCCCTCCCCCTGTTCGCGTGACGTATTATGTGTACGGCCCCTTATGTTCAAAAATTTTTAATAATTCTCGTCAAAATTTAAGTTATTTTTATAAATAAAAAAATTCTTCTACAAAATTCAATTATTTTCAAAAATTTCATTAAATTCTTGTCAAATTTCAATTATTTTCATAAATAGTAGAAATTTCTACAGGGATTTCATTATTTTTATAAATAATATAATTCTTTTCAGGAATTCAATTATATTCATAAATAATAAAACTCTATGCAGAATTTCAATTATGTTAAAAAATTTTAAATAATTCTCGTCAAAAATTCAATTATTATTATAAATAAAAAAAATCATTTTCAAAATTCTATTATTTTCAAAAATTGTCATAAATTCTTGGCAAACTTAATTTATTTTTGAAAATTTGCCTCCATTCACAAGTTTTTTTTATAAATTGCTTCGATATGATTCAATTATATTCATAAATAATAATAAAAGTCTGTCCAGAATTTTAATTATGTTCAAAAATTTTAAATGATTCTCGTCAACAATTCAATTATTTTTATAAATAAAAAAATTCTTTTCCAAAATTCTATTATTTTCAAAAATTCTTGGCAAATTTCGTAAACTATGAATTTACCACGAATTCTAAATTTCTAATACAAAACTTTCAATTTTTTCTATTTTTGACAATAGTTTCTTTTTAAATAACTTTTAATTCTTGAAAAAAATAAATTTAAATTAAATTGTTAATTATTATTAGAAATTATTTAATGAATATTAAACTATAAAATTTTGATTGAAATAAATTTTTCTTTTTTTCTAAAGAAATGTAAATTTTGCGAATTTTTTAATTAGCAATATTTAATTAATTTTAGAATTGACCAAACAATGTCGGACTCTGAGAGCAGTATCGACAGTTTTGAACTGATGAAAAGGAATTTGAGTATGGAAACTGGCGAATCAAGATTTACAAAGAATGAAAATAACGACAAACTTGAGGAATTTGAACTACTCTTTCGATCGATGATGGAGTCTCGTGGTCCTTCTCAAGAGGATGAGGAGGCGCCACAAGAGGAAGTGAGCGACGAGAAAAATGCAGGTAATTTTTGTCTGTAACATTTTTTAAATTTTCAAAAAAAAAAAAAATATTTATTATTCTTTTTATTCAATTTATTCAATTAGTTAGAAAAAATAAACTTTTATACAGTTTCTGTAATCAATAAAATTAACAATTGGTTAAGTTAATACAGAGAAAATATAATTTAATATTCTATACTTTATCTCTGGAAAAGTATAAATTCATATTATGTATTTAATTGATTAACAAATGATTTATTTAAAATTGAAAATGTAAACGTAACTCTATTTCAGTAACATTGGAAGCATTCGAAAATTGATTTACGGTTTGTCACTCAATTTAAATGAAATCCAATACACAATGGCAGGATATTTAATACCTCGTTTTAATTAAATTCATCGGAAAATCTTTCCCTTCGTCAATAAATTTCAACGAATTAATAAGTTAGCCAACTTTTCAATTCAAAATTTCAACAAATATTTATTCAATTATTTGGTTAAAATAAATATATATTATTTTAATTTCAAAATATAATGTAATATTGTAAATTGTAAAGCAAAAATAGTAACTAAAAAATTTTGCACTTATCTTCTAAAACCTACTATTTTACTATTTTTTACGATTTGGATACTTTTTATTAGATTTGTGACTAATATTTGAAATAAAAAAAAATTTCTCTAAAAAATTTTAATTAAATGCTTAGAAACAATTCTGAAAATGTTAATATAATTCTTTCAAACGATTCAATTATTTTCAAAAATGTTTCGAAATTCTATTAATTTCAATATCTACTATTTAAAAACAAACTTTACCAAAAGACAATAGTTAAAAAAATTAGTTGAAAAAAATTTTTATAAAATGCTTTGCAAACATTCAATTAGTTTCCTAAATAATAAAATTCCCATAGGAATTCAGTTATTTTAAACACAATTATCATAAAATTTTTCATTTAAAAGTCAGTTATTTAAAAAGATTTTTTATAAAATTCTTTGTAGGAATTTAATTAATTTCAAAAATTTGTCGAAATTCAATTCTTTTCAAAATGTACTTTTTAATTAAATTTCTCAGAATAATCCAATTATGAAAAAAAATTTTTTTTTAATAAAATTCGTCTCAAGAATTTAATAATTTTCAAAATCTATAAAATTTTTTGAAAAAATTCAATTATTTTCAGTACAATTTGTATAAAATTTCCCAAGAGAATTCGATTGTTTAAAAAATTTTTTCTAATAAAATTTGTCTCAGGAATTCAATTATTTTTATTTTTAAAGGCTATAAAATTCGTCGAAAAGAATAATTCAATTTCTCAAAAGAATGTAATTATTAAAAAATTTTTTTTTTATAAAATTCGATTCAAGAATTCAATTATTTTCATAAACTATACAATTCTTTGAAAAAATGCAATTATTTTTAACACAATTTAAATAAAATTTCCCGAAACAATTATTCAATTATTTAAAAAAAATGTTTTAGTAAAATTCGTCTCAGGAATGCAATTATTTTCATTAAATTATAAAATTATTCAAAAAAATTCAATTATTTTCAATACAATTTGAATAAAATTTCCCAAAAGAGTTCAATTACTTGAAACACAAATTTCATAAAATTTTTCGATAAAAAACAATTATTTAAAAAGATTTTTATAATTTTATTTATAAGAATTTAAATAATTTCAAAAACTTATCAAAATTCAATTCTTTTCAAAATGTACTTTTCAATCACATTTCTCAAAAGAATTCAATTATGAAAAAAAACATTTTTAATAAAATCCATCTGAAGAATTCAATTATTTTCAAAAATTATAATAAAATTCTCGGCAAAATTTCAACTATTTTCAAAATTATTTTAATTAAATTTTCCACAGGAATTCAAGTATTAAGGAAAATTTAATAACATTCTACGAAAACATTCAATTATTTTCATAAATAATACAATTTTCACAGGAATTCAATTATTTAAAACACCATTTTCATAAAATTTTCTGATAAAAATTAATTATTTAAAAAGATTTTTATATACATTTCTTGGTAGAAATTTAATAAATTCAAAATTTTGTCGAGATTCAATTATTTTCATTATTTACTTTAAATAAAATTTCCCAAAAGAATTTAATTATTTAAATAAAAAATTTAACAAAAATATTCATCTAAAAAATTCAATTATTTTCAGTAAAATTTAACTAAAATTACCCAAAACAATTCAATTACGTAAAAAAAAATTTTTAATAAAATTCTTCTCAGGAATTCAATTATTTTCATAAATTATAAAATTATTCAAAACTATTCAATTATTTTTAATACAATTTAAATAAAATTTCCCAAAACAATTCTATTATGTAAAAAAAAAAAATTTAATTAATTTCGTCTCACAGGAATTCAATTATTTCCATAAATTATAAAATTATAAAAAAATTCAATTATTTTCAATACAATTTCAATAAAATTTTCCAATACAATTCAATTATTAAAAAAAAAATATCAATAAAATTCGTCTCAAGATTTCAATTATTTTCAATACAATTTTTGTTTCAATCTTAAAGCTACTTTTTTTTAATTAATTATCGAACACGAAGCCTGAATATAGTAAAGAAAAAATATTTTAGTAGTAAAAAATAATAGTAAAAAAATATATAAAGTAAAATATAGTAAAGTAACACCTATATATATTAGTAGTAAAAAATAGAAGTAAAAATATAGTAAAGTATAAATATACTAGTAGTAGAAAATAATAGTAAAAATATAGTAAAGAAAAAAAAATTAGTAGTAAAAATATAATAATATATATTTACTTATATTAGGTATAATAAATATATATTATATTAAATATACTCTTTCTAATTTTTCTTTTTGCATTTTTTTCCTTACAAAATAAAGTTTTGTTTACGGGACTTTATAATGTGGAACCATTCTTTTTTTCCCTACTTGCTTTTCATTCATTTCTCTTTTTTTTCCCGGCTTGAGAATTTAATGTAAAGAAAAAGAGAAAAGAAGAGGAAAAAAAATGAAAAGAACCGAGATTGCGAGTATATATGTATATATATATATATATGAATTTTTTCGCTTTCAATATCAACATTCTTTGCTTGCGCCGAATTCAAGGACCTTTTGCGAAAAAGTTGGATGGAGAATTTTAGAAGAGGCTAAAAATATATAAGAAAAGGGAGCGAAAAAAGAGCAAGGGAAGAAACTTACTATGTACTAGAGAACCTAGGTATAACCTGTTGAGAGCATCGAAAAATAGGGGGCGAGTTAAAGAGACTAAAGCAGGAGAAAATTGAGAGTTTGCAACTTAACTTGGGAAATTTTCCAGACGCTCCACTTGCCAAGGGCATTAACCAAAAGGAAAGTAGCTAAATTGGAGGAAGAAAATTTTACCCCATTCCTATATATAAAGATTAAGTCCTACCGGAATGAATAGAGGCATTTTTTCCTTGGATGAGGAAAATTTGCAAAAAAGAAGTTAAAAATTAGGAGAAAATTTATTAAGTTTTGCTTTGTAAATAAATAAATATGCAAATACAGGGTTGCGAGAAAAATTTAATTTTGTTTTTCTCTGATTTCCTGACAAAATTTTGCCTTTTTCTAGAACCCTAAAGAATATTCTGATTCACTCTCAAAGATACTGAAAAAAAATGTTTTCTTACATTAATTTAATTTTAATGTAAAATTATTCGAAAACAATAATACCTTTTTTTATTGTAAATATTTCACCATTATTATTTTTACATAGAAATTAAGATTTTCAAAAATTTTAAATTCAAACTTCTTCAAAATTATTTTCATTATCTCAATTCAATTATTATTTTCTAGAATTTTTATTTATGAAAATAATTGATTGCAATGTTATTAAATTTTTTTTTTTAAAATTGAATTCCTTTGGAAAATTTTATTAAAATAGTAGATGAGAATCATTGAAATGAGAAAATTTTTTGAAAATAGTTGAAATTTTGCCGAGAATTTTATTATAATTTTTGAAAATAAGAAATAACTGAATTTTAGAGAAGAATTTTATTATTTACAAAGATAATTAAAATTTTGACGCGAATTTCTAAAAATTTTTGAACATAATTGAATTTCTGCGAAGAACTTTATTACTTTCGAAAATAATTGAATTTCTTCAATCATTTGTAAAATTGAATTAATATTGAAATATTTAAGTAAAATTATTCATTATATAATTTCTAAGTAATAATTTTATGATAGTTCTTCAAGAATTAAAATTATTTAAAAGAAATTATTGTCAAAAATAGAAAAAATTGAAGGTTTTTTATTAGAATTCGTGGTAATTTCATAGTTCATGAGACAAAGAAAAAAGTCACCAACATTCAGAATATTCTTATAAATTCTAAAATTTAATAAAAAGAATAAAATTTTTTAGGTAATAAAATAAACATTATTTCGTATTTAATTTTTTGCTATGAAACAATGTTGATACATTTTTTGTTTCAATTTAATATCATTAAAAAAACTGTCATTCAAATATAAAAAATTAACAATAAAAAACAGATTTTTTATCGATAAAAAACAATTGTGTCTCAAACGCAGCTTTGTAATTTTAAAAAATATTGTCAAAATGAAATAATGAATTTAATGAAATTTTGTTGATGTAATTTAATTTATAATGCTTTTTTGGGGGGGAGGAGGGCGAAAATAATGTATTACTTTAATTATGATTCTGTCAAGGGATTCCACTTGACAAAATTTGCGCAAGTTACGGTTGGAGGTCGTTTTGCAACACAATTCTACTCGGCAAAACTACAATACTTACTATCATGCGGTTTCCTCCGCATTTTATGAGTTTAATTTAGAACCAGACGGTCTGGCTCTACATTTGAATATTCTAGTTTTGGTTGCCCGCAAAATTTAGGAGTCACTTTGGTGTCATGAAATTTGTGAAATTCATTCGCTTATCTAACAAACAGCTGTTGCAACAAAATTTATGCAAAATTCAATTTTCGAAATAATTTATTCGCACAGAAATATTTATATATGTTATAAATATTTATAACTTATTATTATTTA